TGACTGTGAGAATTCATAAGCCCTGTTCAAGAGCTTTCCAACATGTACACAGCACACCTTCTCTGCTGTTCCTCTTCATAATCTGCCCAGATCATTTCCTTCTGCTGCTTACTATACCTAGACTGCTGCATTCTCTTTATTTCACTATTGTAGCAACTCCAAAATTACTTTAACACTGGAAACTCACTCACTCGACAGCAGGCTGCCTCCTTCCCCTCTTGCCCACTCTGCCCCTTGCCTCCCTGCTGCTAGGCATGGCCTGATGTTTCCCTCCCCTAAGTACAGACGACCTGCCTGAGCCCAGTCTTTGCTTGCCTGTAGGGGCTGGATGGGTGAGTGACTGTGATGTGGAGGATTAGATGTTGCCTCCCCTCCCGGTCTCCTCACACACTCAGGTGGGCCAGCACAGAGCCAGCCTGGGCCCTGGGAGACATACTCATCAGCCCACAAGCAGCGCAGACAGGTGCTGTTTGAGAAACAATCAAGCACTTTTTTTTTAACTACAGGATTTAAGAACCACCACTGAAAACTGGTAGTCCTGCATTCTTAACCTGCAAATATCTCTGTGTACAAGACTGCACTTGTAAGAAACCAGGCCGGCAACTACTTGCACCATAAAATCATCCAAAGCATTCACTAAGTTCCCTCTTTGTGCAAAACCATGAGGGTTAATATATTCTAAGTCAGTCGCCCTTGCCCTCACCTTATTTGTGATGTCAGATGATAATTCTACATCACTTCTGGTCATGTCGTCACCAATCACTGCTTGGATCCAGGGTAACAGCTTCTCTCCTGTCCTTTACCCTCCCCACCACCCCCACACACAAAGTTATACCATAATTTTTGATTAAAGGAGTTTGTTAAAGGGAATTAAAATCAAATAAACTTTGAAACTATGATGACAACCATCTTGAAAAAGTTCCTCTTTGCAGCTCTTTGAATTCGTCATCTTTCCTGGTTCTGCATTTTCTCTGATTGGGTCTGTTTCCTCCCAGAATCTTCCCCTAGTTCTTGCACAGTTGCCCACAGATAAGGGTTAATTCTCACCAAGTGTGGCCAAGAGAGGACTGGAAATCACATCAGACATAGACTATGAAACATACATAGGAAAATAGAAATATAGCCCACACATATATTAATTATAATTTAGCAAATTGTGAAGATGGATTGGTAATATTTCAAAAAGAGGCAGAAGTAAGATACTTGTATGTTCTGAATTAGTGACTGTCCTCTTTATGAGAGAGGGAAGCAGGTGATCTCATGAAGTGCTTTCAAGTCTAAGTTACCACTGAAGGGGAAGCCAACTCAAATACGTATCAAGTACATCAAAGTCCCCTTCTCACAGGACCTGCTCCATTTCCTGGGAGAGTACAAAAGGCAATGTGACAATGAAATGTCCTGAGTGAAACTGGGCATGCATGTGACATGTCTTCATTAGGGCATCCTTACCCTGGGCAGCAGCTAACTGCTCCCAGCTCCTTCCTGCACTGTGTGGCTCCTCATCCCACTAGCCCATCAGGAAGATGTGCCTCCCCAGGACACACGCTCCTGTTGTCTTTGTTCCCTCCTGCCTGCTCAGCACCACACCGCCCCTACGATGTGGCTCCAGCCGGCGTCATGGAGGTCTCCCTGGGGTGAGAGCTTGTCAACTTAAAGGACATTTGAATACATTGGGTGAAATACAGCTGTCTACCCCTTCACTCGAGGTGCACCTTGCCATCTCCTGTCCACATCTCCAAAGTTGTCATGCAGACGAGGGGATCCTGAGCAGCCAGTGAGGACACCACAGCTCTGAGCCACGTGATACTGAGCCTGAAGGAGGAAGGCAGCATGGAAGTGGGCAGAGGAACCTAGAAGTCCTCTCGGCAAGCAGGAATTACAACGTGAGTCCCAGTACGAGTGATTAGCTTGAAAGCACAGGGTAATCCAGAAGGTTAATCAAAACCATTTGGTCCAGTCTTCCTGGTGAATCCTTCAGAAATATAGTAGAATCAGAAAGTGGAATACAACAATCCCCATAATCTCAACAACACATTACACAAAGGCCAGTGGACACTTTTGTTCCAGGCATTATGCTAAGCACTTTACATTCATCACCTCACTAATTTCTCATAATTATCCTACAAGGTAAACAAACATTATTTACTATTTTTATCCTACAGATTGAGGAAATTAGGTTTAGAAAAATCCAGAAACTTCTACATGTCCCAAACTGGTAAAGAGCAACGCCAAGCTTGGGACCTTATCTCTACAGTAAATACCTTTCTCTAAGGCAACGTCTGTTCTTCTTGCCACACGTCCCTGAGACTTGGAGTGGCTGAGTGCCTCCCCCTTCCTGAAGAATCTTCCAGCGCACCCTCAAGCTGCAGGTGGTGACCGCTACGTCACGTCCAAGAGTATGTAACACAAGACTGTTGACACATACCTCCTGTCCACTCTTCTCATCTGGACACACCTCAGGGTTTTCTTCCTTTACTGAAGTTTGCAGGGTGGATGTAAAGGCTTTCATGTTTAGCACTAGTAGCAATCTGGACATTGGGCTGGGACCTCCTTTACCAAGGGTCTAGATGTGGTAAACTTCGTGGAGTGACCGCCAGGCTGTCACGCTCTGGTGCCTCCATGGTCAGTGAAGGGCAGCAGACATGAGTGGAGAGGCCACAGACCATGAAAAGACGGAGAAGAGGCTGAGACCACCACCAGTTTGTGAGGAGAATGGCAAAAACTGAACTTCTCCAATGGAGAAGGACAAGGAATGTTATTCTGGGCCACGGTGGGTGGCGTCAGAGGAAAGCTTCTCTCTGGAGAAGAAGATGTCAATGATAAGGGGCCATGTGATCAAATGGCAAACACAAGAAATGATGACGTGGCACTCCCTGGATGCTGGAACCGGCCCGAGGGTACACACCTGGACATGGCACAGCTTGGGTGTGCACCAAGTCTGAATCTGCACTCCAGGCCCATAACCGTGTTCTAGCCCTGACTGCCTCTTATCGTCACAAGATACCACGTGGCATCGCACAGATCAAATGAACTTTGAAAATCTTATGTAAGTGAAAAGTGATTGATAGATTTGTGGGGACCATAGCAGCTACCCAGAACTGGGAGGGTATTGAGAGTGAAGTGATATACTCATAATTACATCAGGACAGTGTAATCTGAGGTTGTCCCAGGCAAAGCAGGATGTGCGGTCAGCCTGTTTACAGGCTATAAGTCACTCCACAAATCACATTTTCTGTAAAATGGGAATAATACCTGCTCTCTCTGCTACCACCTCGCAGTGTTTCTAAGGAGGAATTGAATGGGACAGTGTCTATTGTATCATTTTGTAAACTGTAAGTTTTGATTTAATGCACAGATTATTATAGGCATGCACAGACAGTGGCGTGTCTGCCCCAGCTTGGAGCATTCGTGGGCTCCCCACAGGAACTCATGGGTATTAATTAAATAGGACACCAACAGCTCAGAAATGAAAGACCCTGACTTTTCTGCCTTGTCTTGGGCTAAATGCATAGCATTGCTTAAGTCTCTTAGCCAGTACAAGGAGGTTGAAGGATATTGCTAAAATATCTTTAATGATTTAATTAATTTAGATAAATAAATCTCATGAAACTAGGATAAAACTCCAATATAAACATCACTAGAACTTTAACGAATTTTACCCACCTGAAGTCAGTTTTGGTGAAATTACCCCTCCTATAAACACACACACACACACACACACACACACACACACACACACACCCCTCTTTCTCATCACAAACTCAAAATAAGCTAACACACATTGTAGTTTATCCCACTTAACAGACATAGTGGAGTTCCTTGAATTTCTCTTTCATCCCATCGAGAAACCACTAATCCTGAAGCAACTGGCACCACACTACTAGTGACTATGGTTCTGACTAACCCCATTCAAGAATTAATGTGCTTGTTATGCTGGCTCTAATGTACTAAAATATCAAAGAGAAATTCACAGGATGCATGATTTATAGGAAATCATAACAGTATAAAATCCCTTCCAGTGAATATAAACTTGCATCCAAGTTACATGAGCTCCAACTAGCCAAATTCGCACC